ATCAGTTGGTATGGTTGATTATATGATGACTACTTAATTATATGTTTGGTAATATGATGACTGTTTAATAGAATGGTTGGAAATATGATTAGTTCTAATCTACATGTATATTGTTCTAAAACAAATAATATACATGTTTTCTATAAATATAGATTGTTCTTACATAATACTATTATAGGCTAATTGTTAACATGTATAAAATTAGAATATTCTAAAAAAAATAAAATATGTACATATAGAATATTCAAATTTGTAAAAGCTGATTTGTTTTAAGTTGATTATTATGAATATTTTGGTTTCATTTAATTACTTGATATTATACTTATTATGATTTATTTTTTAATTTAGTTATTCTAATTATTATGATATCTTTTAATAAGTTATATTCATAAAGAATAATGATATAGCTTGGATACTAATATGTATAGAAGTAGAATATTCTAAAAGAATGATATACATGTTGAATGTACATATAGAATATTCTTATGAAATAATGTTATAGGTTGAGTACTAACATGAATAAAAGTATAATATTATAATTAGAATACTCTGATTTTGGAAAGGTGAATTGTTTTAAGTTGATTATTCTGAATATTATGATTTCATTTAAATTTATATGTACTATTAATAAGACATAATGAATGTGTATATATAGAATATTCTAATTGAATAATTTTGTACTTTGTCTGTTTATTTAGAATAATATGCATAATGTTCTACGATAATCTAGGATATATATATATATATATATATATATATATATATATATATATATATATATATATGTGTGTGTGTGTTTGTGTGTGTGTGTGTGTGTGTGTTTGTGTAAAATATTCTAATAGAATAATGCCTTAATAAATTTAGGCTTTTTTTTAACACTCATTGATGTGTTATAATTCTAGTTATTATAGATGTTCAACATTAATATTGTATTGTTAATATTTAATATTATGGAATTGTGTGTGATTTGATATTAAAGTGTAATATTCTAAAATTAGGTTCTACTGTGTAAAATAAACTTATATTATATAAGATATTAATAATATATGTA